CTGAATACTTATGACCATGTGATATTTCAGTTTTTCTTTTTTAATAAATCTGCAAAAATGTCAAACATTCTGTGTTTTTCTGTCAATATGGGGTGCTGTGTGTACATTAATGAGGAAAAAAATGAACTTAAATGATTTTAGCATATGGCTGCAATATAACAAAGAGTGAAAAATTTAAGGGGGTCTGAATACTTTCCGTACCCACTGTACATACTCAAAATGTCCACAAACCCATTCACTGTACATTTTTAAACATGCAATACAGCAAAAACTTTGACAGGACTATGAAGCCATTCTAGTCATTTAAAATCTGACATGGTAGAAACCTGCTGATTAACCCATGACAGATAAACATGGTTATGGGATAAAGAGGTTATAATCATTGAGCAAGAATGACTAGCTAATATAACAGTTGTAAAAATGTTTAATGATGTAAATATTCAAAACAAATTTAAAGTTTAATTTGACACTCTGTATGATAAACAGCAGTTTTATCTAAATCTTTGTGTGAGTACACTAAAGTAAATAAGGTTTCTGTTTATCACTGTGTTTTAATCAATTTGTTTTCTTCTGAACAAATCTGATCCCAGCTCCAAGTTAGTGAAGAGCACAGACCACAGTGGCTGAATGGAAAGACTTATCTTTCCTAATCATTATGCTTCTAAATAAACAATTAAAGATTACTGAAAACCAACACACTCCTCACCTGGCACTACTATGTCAAATGACCGCCGCAATAGTCAGCAAGACTCCTGAGACAACAACATGCTACAGGAACTGCTGCAAACAGCACAGACATTTACCACTGTTTCTGCTACAAGCCAACAGGGACAAGGCCCATAAAGTCCTGCTGCCTCCTGGACATACTCACAGAATCAAAGTAGCAGTTCAACATGCATGTCTCACAGGCTAACAGACTGTAACCCAGAGCCGTGGTCAGAGCCAGCGTTTCACTTAAGTCCTGAGGCACAGCAGGCCAGGCGCTTATTGGTGGTGGTGGTGGTATAAGGCTCCACTGCATCCGATCCATGATTAACACACATAAACAGAGCCTAAGCATCTCCACAGGCAGGCGGAGGGAGGCTCTTGATCAACATGGTATGCCTTAAGCCATAACTAAGACCCTAATTGAAGCCACCAGCACCACACCAGTCTAAGTCATCCCCGTCAAATCACAGTCATTGCCACGCTCCGTCTGCTCCCTCCGATCCGAGCTGCTGGGTTGATTCAACAAATATGATGGCAGCGCTGAGGCTCTGCTGCCCTGGTGGGCTAGGCTGACGTTGCAAAAGCTAACTGGCTATCTTGCTCCTGTTAAGCATCCATCTCTGCTTTTGTCTCGTCACTGCTGCACTGAGTCATTCTCTGGTGAAACTGTGGAGGTTGCAGTGCACACCTGAGCTCAAACAAGGCCTGCGTCAGTGATCCACGTGCTAAACCAGCCCCGAGGCATTGCTTAAATTAAATCAGCTCTCTTGAGCTTTGGTGTTGATAGATTATTCTGCTAATGAGCAAAGTTGCTGAGGCAAAAGAAAGCCTGAAAAAAACCTACTTATTCACGAAGCAGTAAGCTGAGCGAAAGATAGTAGTAGTGACAAACATAAGAAGGTAGATTAAAAGAAAGAGGGTTAAGTAGTAAAGAAAGAAAGAGAAAAGCCTGTAAGCTGTAAAACACTGGTTCGTGTCCAACCTGGCTGCCATAGAAACTACTGCTGATATCACCAAATGTGTACGTTGCTGGCACCACTTGACCTTTGAAATTTTTAAAATGTTCCCTTTCTTCACAGAAGAGGAAAAGGTTAGCTGCCTCCCTGACTGAGGGTGCTTTTTTGGATGAGACAGGAGGATGTGATTCATCATGAATAGTGGACAGACAAGTTATTATCAGTGTCATCAGAGTGCAGCCAATGCAGTGCTGACTTTATTGCCCTCTCTCAGATAGAGGTTAGATCGCGTCAGACAGAAAGACAACCAGCAGACATGCAAGAGTCCTTCAGAAGAGAGAACAAAAACAGCTGGATTTAGATGTACTGTATCTGCCTATGTGCAGATCTGAGGCTCAACTTCCCTCTCAGACAGCTAGAGAGCTGGAGGGGACAATGAGCCAGATGAGAATCAAACACATCTTAATTACTGTAAAATAATTTTTCCTGAGCACCCATTAGCACACAACTAGGTTAATATTACATCAACAGACCAAGCGCAAGGTGATTTCCAAATCCGTTTTCTCCAACCAAATTGCATCCAATCTTATTCTGATGAATTTTTCAGACAAAGTTCTGCCTACAGGTGGGGAGCAAATGAAAGGAAAAACCAAAGAGTCTCAGTAAGGTGCTGGGCTACCACGTACCACCAGAACAACTTCACCTTGGCACTGACTCCCCAAGTCTCTGAACTCTCCTGGAGGAATGAACACCGTTCTTCCAACAGACATTCCCTCATATGGTGTTTTGATGATGGTGGTGGAGACGCTGTCTAACACATCGCTCCAACATCTCCCATAGCTGTTCATCTGGGTTGAGACCAGGTGAATGTGAAGACCACAGCATCTGATCCACATCATGTTAATCCTCATCAAACCATTCAGTGACCCCTTGTGCCCTGTGGATGGGGACACTGTCATTTTCAAGTACTGCAAATCAAATAGGTCCAATGCTGTGCTCACTGTTGCCTGACTGATAGCTGGAGACAAGTGGAAGAAGAACAGGGACATCATCTCTGTCCAAACCTACTTCCGTCTATGTACAAAGCAACAGAATAAGTGTTACAGAACTGCCAACAGGCATGGCTGTATTAGTTGACTAAAAGTAGTAATTGTTAGGTAACTCCTAACAATACCTTCAAATTGTTGTTTAAAAGCTCCAAATCAATTAAAGATTGTGTTTAAATGGTGTAATAAGTTTTTTTATAATACAATAAACAGCAGCTGAAGCAGGTAATTGCAGTGAAAAAACAAACAATCTGATTATTTCCATGTATCTGTCTATACTGATTTCAGCCATGTTGCTCAGCCTCAACTGCAAAACGAGTTGGAAATTCTAATGAAGAATCTGGTAAGAACTCCCAGCTTCAACATTTCAGATGCACTTCACTGCACAATCTCTTAATGCCACACATGTTTAAGATACTTATACTTCTCACATAAAGAAACAGCCCAAGCCTTCATGTTTGAATTCCAGCACTGCAAATCCTTCAATCTTTCTGTGTGGTACATGGTTACTAGTGTCATGTTAGTGTGAAACAATTTGTATGGTCAAGTTGTTGAATATAAATTTGACCTCAGTTTAGTAGCCGCATAGGGACAAGTTGTGCTATTCTGAACTGAATGCCAAACATTTGAAGTCTTTAAGTTTCCTCTGTTTGTTCAGAGCTGGACCACTGAAATGAATGAAATGCAGTGGGGGTTTTGTTTAAGCCCCCCATATTTTTGGATTATATTTGC